AAAACCCCAAATTGTGGAGGAAAATCCCCAAATTATGGAGGAAAACCCCAAATTGTGGAGGAAAACCCCCAAATTGTGGGGGGAAAAACCCAAATGATGCAGACAGGAAAGGCTGTAGGTCCAGACAAGCTCTGTGTGTGTGTTCAGAGAATTTTTTGGAATGTTCCAGTGGGACTCAGCTGGAGCTTTCCTGCTTTCTCTGGGTGCAGTTACCAACTGGGCTGAAAGAAAAACTGGAAGGGTGAATGTGAGCTGAAAATGATGCTAAAAGATTAAGGGCAAACACCAAGGCAGGGTTTGCAAGGTGGGGAGTTGTTTGGGGGTTGAAACTTTGTCACTCAGACTGTTCTGGGTGTGAATTTCAATTTGAGTGAATTCCCTTCAGCAGACTGTTAATGGAATTCAGCTTTGGGGAGGTCACTGGGGAGGTTTTCTGTGTTCATGTGACCCTCAGCAGTGCTCATGCCAGTGTGTGTCACAGAGATGGACTCAAAGGAAATATTTCACTGCTTTGGCTTTATTTGGGGGTTTTTAAACAAAGTATTAACTGACTTTTCTTTCCACTATGCCTTCAGACCAGGATTTAAGGGCATATCTGTCCTGCTGTAAGTGGTTAGAAAAGCAGATCCCTCCAGCTTGATGTGGTTAATGCAGTGTTCTTCCATAACTGGGGCTGTGAAGCCTTGCCCCTTTAAAAAGTAAAGATTTCATTTAAAAAAAATATTAAAAATAAAAATTACTTTATAAAAAATAAAAATTATTTAGTAAAAAATAAAAATTATTTTATTTAAAAAATTTTATAAAAATAAAAACTATTTCTAAGACATTTACAAAAATTACCATTTATTTCTATAAGAATTACAGAAAATATTTATAAATTAATGATTATATCAGAAGTTACAATTTTACAATCTGAACGCTTCTCTTTTGCTCTCCACGTTTTTCTGCTTAGCTCAGATTAGCTGTGCCTGCATAGGAACTGAAATGGTGCTTTGTGACATTTCTGTGAGCAGCTGGGAGTTCCTGAAAGTTGCATTTTGGGGAACAGTGTCCCGTGCTGGTGCCTCGGGGGGAAGTTCTGCATCAACCCCCCCACCCCGAGCCTCCCAGAGCCCTTTGAGAGCAAATCCCTGAACAAACCCCTGAGCTCAGACACGGGAGCTCCTGCTCAGCCTGGGGGGACCAGGGGGGTCTGGGTGGGAAAATCCTGCTGGGGATTTTCCCTCTTTCTGCAGGAACTGCAGGCATTGATCGGGGGGAATCAGGGGGATGAGGGTGGTGACAGTCCCCAGCAGGATTTCCCTCTTACTGCAGGAATTGATCAGGGGGAATCAGGGGGTTGAGGGTGGTAGAAATCCCCAGCAGGATTCCCTGTTTCTGCAGGAATTGCAGGCATTGATCAGGGGGATTCAGGGGGATGTGGGTGATGGAAATCCCAGCAGGTTTTCCCTGTTTCTGCAGGAATTGCAGGCATTGATCAGGTGCTGAATGTCCTGCTCACCACGGCCATGTTCGTTGGGGGCTGCGTGGCCTTTGTCCTGGACAACACCATCCCAGGTGAGCCCGAGCTGGGAGCCCTGCAGTGCCCTGGAGAGGGCAGAAATCCCTGGGGAGGGGCAGAAATCCCTGGAGAAGGGGCAGGAATCCCTGGGGAGGGGCAGAAATCCCTGGGGAGGGGCAGGAATCCCTGGAGAAGGGGCAGGAATCCCTGGAGGGGCAGAAAATCCCTGGGGAAGGGCAGAAATCCCCTGGATAAAAACAGCTTTCCCTGGAAAAAAAGCAGAATTCCTTAGAAAAAACCAGCTTTCCCTGGAATAAAAGCAGAATTCCCTGGGTAAAAGCAGAATTCCCTGGGTAAAAGCAGAATTCCCTGGGTAAAAGCAGAATTCCCTGGATAAAAGCAGCATCCCCTGGGGCAGAACAGGGTGGACAACACCATCCCAGGTGAGCCCGAGCTGGGAGCCCTGCAGTGCCCTGGAGAGGGCAGAAATCCCTGGGGAGGGGCAGAAATCCCTGGAGAAGGGGCAGGAATCCCTGGGGAGGGGCAGAAATCCCTGGGGAGGGGCAGGAATCCCTGGAGAAGGGGCAGGAATCCCTGGAGGGGCAGAAAATCCCTGGGGAAGGGCAGAAATCCCCTGGATAAAAACAGCTTTCCCTGGAGAAAAGCAGAATTCCTTAGAAAAAAACAGCTTTCCCTGGAAAAAAAAGCAGAATTCCCTGGAAAAAAAGCAGAATTCCCTGGGTAAAAGCAGAATTCCCTGGGTGAAAGCAGAATTCCTTAGAAAAAACCAGCTTTCCCTGGAAAAAAAGCAGAATTCCTTAGAAAAAACCAGCTTTCCCTGGAAAAAAAGCAGAATTCCTTAGAATAAAAGCAGAATTCCCTGGATAAAAGCAGAATTCCCTGGGTAAAAGCAGAATTCCCTGGATAAAAGCAGCATCCCCTGGGGCAGAACAGGGGCAGGAGATCCCTGCTTTTGGGGCTGGCTGCTCCCACAGCAGGAGCAGAGTCCTTACACCTGCCCTCCCTTCCCCTGAGGACACCTCAGGTTAAAATCCCATCCTGTTAAACACCTAAAAAACCTGATAAATACCAAACCAGTCTCCAGGAGACAGAGTAAAACTGTCTCCAGTAAAACTGGGTTTGAGACCCAAACCTGCTTCCATTCCAGAGGAGAAATTTGCCTTCCAGTTACAAAACAAAGCAGATAATTTTGGTTTTTTGCCCTTTTTGAGGAGCCTGGGAGATGTTCCCAGAGCTTTGCTGAACTTGGTGGCAGAGCCTTGGTGTTTTCATTTCTTCTTTTAGGCTCTGCTTCAGGTAAAGATATCCATGGATATCTTTATATTTATATTTAATATCTGTATATTTATATATAAATATATAAATACTTTTCCCTCTGATTTCCTAGGAAGCCCCGAAGAAAGGGGAATTCGGAAGTGGAAGAAAGGGGTTGCCAAAGGAAGCAAATCCCTGGATGGCATGGAGACCTACGATCTGCCTTTTGGCATGAACTTCATTAAAAAGTACAGGTGTTTCAGCTTCCTGCCCATCAGCCCCACCTTCGTGGGGTACACGTGGAAAGGCTTCAGGAAAAGCAGCAGCTGCAGGAGTTCAGACGAAGACTCAGAAGCTACAGTATAGCCTTAGCTGAAATTCTATTCTCTAGTTGTAGTCAAAGATGTATTTGCAGTTTCTTGCTGATTAAGAAGCATTAAAATATATGTTTTGTATATCTGCATTTAAATTCTGGAACCAGAGCTGAGACGGATTTAAAAAAAAAAAAAAGAAAAAAAAATTAAAAAAAAAAAAGCTTTTCCTGCTGTGGGTGGTGGGAGCCAGGTCTAGTGTCTCTGGGGCAAATCCTGCTGATTTTGGGAAGTTGGAGAGAGCTGTGCACCTGATTCTGTTGGGGTTTAATGGGTTTAGGTGGAGGTGGGGAGGTGCTGCTGCAGATTTTTCATTTTTGTGGTGATTTTATTGGAGCCCTCAGCGTTGGTTACGCCAGGAAAGCTGAACCTTGGAGAAGGAGGAGGGGAAAAAAGAGAGAGAAAAGGAGAATTATTCCTTCTGACCATGTCAGATCCATGGATGCTGCTGTGCTGCTCAGTGATTTGCACATTCCATGTTCTCAGAGCCCTGGAGACGGGCTCAGCTGATGCTGCCAACCCAGGAGAGCTCCACTCTGAGCAGCCCCTGGTTTCAGTGACACATCAGTGCTCAGCCAGGAAGTTTCTGGAATAACTCTGCCTCTGGAAGCCTTGGCTGGCTGCAGCAGCCCCTTCTTCTCCTGGCAGCATTTCTCATTCTGCTTCTCCCCACCAGGATTTCCTCTCGCCCAAACCTGGGCAGTGCCAGGGATGGCAAACCTGAGCTCAGCCAGGACCTGCAGGCAGCCTTTGGGTTCAGTGCCTCTCCAGCAGGACGCTTCCTGCCCAGAAATACTAATTAGCTGAGCAGCTCCAAGCAATTAACAGTTGTTCCCTGCAGGGACAGCCACGCTTGGGTCTCAGCAGGATATTTTTATTTTTTTTTTTGCTGATGGCTCTTCTCCTCTTGTGGGGCTTCTCCAGAGGCTGGGAGGGGGTTTGGGCCAGCAGAGACACTGCACCTGCAGCCTCACCCAGCCATGGGTTCACGGGTATCGGGTCCAATCAGGGCACCACTCAAATCTCCTTTTTTGTGTTCCTGGAATAGTCTCAGCTCTGCTGTTACGTGGGTGTTCACGCTCATCATGCATTCATGATTAACAGTTTTATTCCTGTTTAATGTTCTTACTATTGCAAGTTAGTTTTAGACTTCAGTGTGGCCCCAAAAAGCATTTTCAGCTGTGGAGATCATCAGGGAAATGTTGTGTAATGTAACTTCAAGGCCAGTAATGCTCTCGGTGCTTGCGTTTTGTATTCCTGGAAAACCATACCAGTAGATCCTGTGACCCCCTGATCTATTTATCCAAGTGTGACTACTGGACAGGAGCACAGGAGCTCTTGTTTTCTCTGAGTCTGCTCCCAGGGGAATTTGTTCTGGGTTCTTGAAGCATGGACGGGTTGGGGTGGGGAGGGCAAGGACGGAGCTTGGCGGGTCAGTGCTGAGTAGTGTAGAGTGGGAACGGCCCCGTGCAGGTCGTTCCCAGCATGCCATGGCTGTTTCCAGAAACTGTTGTACCCCGCTTTTCCCGTGCCCAAGCATGCCTTTGTTCCTGCTTCCTTCGGGGAACTTTCAGTAGTTTGCAGTCTTGGGGTCGGCCGGCCTCGGAGCTGCTCGGAGGAGTCGTTGTGTCGTAACGAGGTTGGTTTGCCTGTGAAACAAAAAGTCTTTTTTTTGCTCATTTTTCAGTGTTTCCTCCCCCGGGGGAGCGAGGTGTTGGGTTCCCCTGCCTGCCTGCACACGGTTGGGTGTGGGATCTCTGCTTCCACGTTCCCCAGCTGTCTGTGCCAGGCGTGGAGGGGTTAACAACGCCCCAAAAGCACCTCGGGGGCTCTGCAGCCCGAGGGCTTCTGCTGGTGGCAATGCCACAGCTGGTTATCCTGTAAAAGCGGAGAAAGGGAGGAAAAGCTTTTCATTTCCAGCTGCAGAGGGAGGAGGGGATGAGCAGAGTTTGTCTCACCCTGCTGGGGGATCGGGCTGAGCTCCCACCGGGCATTCCCAAGGCACTCCAAGCCCCAGGGCAGCAAATCCTGCATCAACTCTCTCTCCTCCCTGGAGTAAACTCCCCCACAGCACTCTCCAGGCAGATGCAGCCCAGTTTTCTGTTGGATTTAATTCTTTTTGTGGTTTGTGCCCATTTTTTGGGTCACTTTGGGGCAGGGGGACAAGCCCCCTTCTCCCAGGGTGAGTGCTCCAAGCTGAGCCCTGGGCGTGCAGGAGGAGCTGGGGTTGGGGAGTTGGAGGTGAATTTTGGGAAGAGGAGCTGCCCTGTGCCCTCCTGGAGCCCCCCAGGGGAAGGAGAGCAGGGCTTTTCTTTTTGGGGGGGAGAAAAATCCCTGAGTTCACCCCGGGTTTGTGCAGGGGACACTCTGGACCTTCAGTCCTTCCTTTCTCCTGTCACTTGGCCAAGTGGCTGCTGTGAAATTCCAGATTCCAGGGGTTGGGTTCCCCTGCCAGGGGTGGAGAGGATGAGGTGCAGCTTTGGGGAGCACCAAAATCCCAAATTTCCAGGGATTTGGGTGCCCCTGCCAGGGGTGGAGAGGATGAGGCTGCAGGTTGGGGGAGAATGAAACACAAATTGTGAGAATTAAACACAAATTATGAGAATTAAACCAAGATTGTGAGAATTAAACCCAAATTGTGAGAATTAAACCCAGATTGTGTGTGCTGGGGACGTCCAGGTGCAAACCTGCCAGTGCCATGCTGGATTTTCCTCCCTGTCCTCCCCTGCCTTTCCAAGCACCCAGGGAAGTTGGCAGCTGAGAGGTGAGTGAAGAGGTGATGAGAAATTCCAACCAGATTTGGAGAGGGAAGGGCAAATATTCATGGTAGAAATCTCATTTTGTCATATCAGAGGTGGCATCAGTGTGTACAAACAAAAGTAACTTGGGATTTTTGTAATTGATCTTCTCTTGTATTTTTTTTAGGTTCGACTAAGGGTTCTTGCTGACATGTTGAAACACGTTTTCTAAAGCAAATACTTGCAAATGATGCCTATAGAAATTTAGGTTTCGTAGCTGCCAGCTATGAGTGATTAATGTTGTCATATTGGAGGGACTTAGCTCAGAAAGCTCGACCTTTTCAACCCCAAATTTGCTTTTATTGCCTTTTAATACTGACTTGAAATATGACAACTTGGTTTGTACATGAATATTGCAGTATTTTATTTCCATATATTAAGAAAATAACATTTCCGCTCAGGAGGAGCCTTTTCCTGGGAGGGAGTGGTATGAGTGTCATGACAATGTCATGTGATGGTAGAATTTCTTCATTGACGAATCTATAGTGGTTGTGTATACTTTATTTACCCATCCTTGTGTTCCTACCCAAAACTGGAGGCTTTTGTTGTTCCCTCCCCGCTGAGCCCTCCAGGCTCCCGGGGCGGGGGGGCAGAATTGGAGAAAAGCCCTCAGCGAGTCATTCACACCCAAAAAAAGTGCAAAGCCTGGGATTTCGGGTGCGAGCAGCACCGGCAGGGCTGGCTGTGCTGCTGTGGCTGACCCTGCACGAGCTGACACCAGCACCGCCCTCACCTCCGCCTCTCCGTGGCCTTCTCCAGCCAAAATCAGCTTTTGCTCCCCTTTCCTCCCCTTTTCTCCCCTTTTCTCCCCTTTTTCCAAGCGGGGCCGGGGGGGGCACTCATTTCTCGCAGCAGAGCCCCAGGGCTGGGTGCAGTTTGTGTTCTGGGGGTCCCAGGCTGGGCTCGGAGCCCCCCGGGTGTTTCTGTGCCCTGGGCACTCCCCTGTGCCAGCCCAGCAATTCCTGTGTTTGTCTGTTCAGAACAACCTCTGGTGTAACAAACTATTGACTGTTCTTGGGCGGTGGGGATAAATTTCCTTTTTTTTCCATGACTTTTCGTGACTGACTTTGGCTGTAAAACTTTTTTTGTTCAACAGCAAAAGTTTATTTTGGGTTTTTTTTTTTTTTTCGTGTTTTTTTGGTTTGTTTTTTTTTTTTGGTTCTTCTTCCAAGATGTGTAATTCTTTTATGGATTTTTTTTTTATTATTATTCTTTTTTTTTTCTAACATTGCTTCATTAAACAACTAAATATTTAAAAAATGTAATATTTGGACCAGATGTTGTGAATAATAGTAGATAAAGCTATTTTATTCTGTATTTTTAAAGCTGTTCAGTATAAATAAACGCGGGCATAGATGCAGTGATTGTCACAGTTCTTTGGTGGCGAGTCCTGGGGTCAGAGGACCCTGGAGTGGGTTGGGTGGGAAGGGAAGGATCCCTCCCTAATTGATTGATTTCTTCCTAATGGATAATTAATTTATTAATGGATGATTTATGTCAGAATCCAGGTGATGGCAAGACCCAACCCAGAGCTGCCCAAAACCACAACCCCCAAGTGCTTTTGGGGACATGGGGACACCCCAAAACTGCCCCTGCCTTTGGGGGCCCCCAGCACCCCCGAGCTGGGCTGGGGCCCGTGGCTGAGTGCAGCAGTGCTGGAGAGGATGGAACTGAACCAGCCCAAAATGCCCCAAATCCACAGCGAGGGGCTGAGAGCAGCTGTGGGGTCAGGGCAGGGATGGAAACCTGATCCCAGTCCTGCTGATCCCAGTCCTGGCTGATCCCAGTCCCAATCCCAATCCTGGCTGATCCCAGTCCTGCTGATCCCAGTCCTGCTGATCCCAGTCCTGGCTGATCCCAGTCCCAATCCCAATCCTGGCTGATCCCAATCCTGGCTGATCCCAGTCCTGGCTGATCCCAGTCCCAATCCCAATCCTGCTGATCCCAATCCTGGCTGATCCCAGTCCTGCTGATCCCAGTCCTGCTGATCCCAGTCCCAATCCCAGTCCTGCTGATCCCAGTCCCAATCCCAATCCTGCTGATCCCAATCCTGGTGTTCCCAGTCCTGGTTGATCCCAATCCTGCTGATCCCAGTCCTGCTGATCCCAAGGTGGGCAAATCCTGGGCGGGATCCCCAAATCTGGGGATTTTCAGAACAGCCGGAACCCCCAGGGTGTGACAGAGCTCAGGGACACGAGAGGCTCCTGCAGAGCCTCCTCTGCTTCCCAGGCAGCTCCCAGAGCTCCCACGTGCAGGAACTGCTCTGGAATTGCTCTGGAACTGCTCTGGAACTGCTCTGGAATTGCTCTGGAATTGCTCTGGAATTGCTCTGGAATTGCTCTGGGTTTCCTGGCAGTCACCGGGGGGGCTCAAAGCTGAAACCGTGAGAAGCTGCAAGTGTGGGAAAAAAGGGAATTTTGGCTGCTTGCTCCGTCTGGGGGGAAATCACTGAGTATTGGAGAATTTTGGAGCTGGGGCCTGGCTGAGGTCCCTGGCAGGAGAAAATCCACCCATTTCACCGAGGAGTGATCCCTGCGGGGTGCTCAGCACAGAAAAGCTGCTGGGACACCCTGGGCACCTCTCGGGGGGTTTGGGGCAGGGCTGGGAGCTCTGCTGCCCTTGCCGTGGGTCACCGTGGGGGCTGCAGGAGCCTCACGGGGCAGGAGTGGGGCAGGAACGGGTCAGATCCCTTTTATTTGGGAAATCCATCCCCCCTGCAGCAGTGGGGCAGGAACGGGTCAGATCCCTTTTATTTGGGAAATCAATCCCCCCTGTAGGCTCCAGCCTCCCCCCACTGCCCCTGCACTGGTGGCAGCGAGCAGGACGTGGCAAAAATCAGGATTTAACCCCAATTCCTCCCTGTGCTCCTGCAGGTGCCCACCCCAAACCCCGCATTTATTTTTTAAAATTATTTTTATTATTATTTTTATTTTTCTGTTCACATCCACCCCAGGAGCCGAGGCTCAGGGGGAGCTCTCCCCATTTTTGGGGCCGAATCCTGGCGTTTGGGGCCGGCTCCATTGTCTCTCTCCCCACCACAAAGGGCCTCTCATCCCCGGCAGCCCTGGGGATGCTGCTGGAATATCAATCCTGCCCCTGCCCCGCTGCTTTCGCCGAGTCAGTGCTTCCCTGAGCCAGATGGCTCCTCCAGAACTTCTCATGTTTTCCACAGAAATCCAAGAAAATCTGGGAAAAAAGGCCCGTTGCAGTCTGTGCCTGTTTGGCTCCAGCAGCTGCTTTGATTATTTCTTTGTTTTGGGGTTGTTTCTTTTTTTTTTTTCTCTCCTTTCGTGTGGGCTGTTTCTAGGCAAATTCCTTCAAAAGAAAAAAAGCCACAAAGCACTGGGAAAGGTCAGGGGCAGACAAAGGAGGAGGGACAGGGCTGCTGCTGCTCTGGAATACTGAACACCCCCAAAGTGCCCCAAAGTGCCCCAAACCGTGCCCCAAACTCCCCCAAAGTGCCCCAAACCGTGCCCAGGACTGGACAGGCAGGATGGGACCCCGCTCCTGGGATGCTCCCAGCAGCAGCTGCTGCTCCAGGCGGGTTTTATTTGGATTTATCTCCTCCTCCAGCCCTGCTCGGGGGCGGGTTTGGGTCCCGAGGCGAGGGCAGCAGCCAAGCGTGCTCCCTGCACGGCTCTGGCCCTGGACATTCCAGGATTTGGGGCTTTTTGGGGCAGGAGCAGCCGCTCCAGCCCGTGGGGTGCAGCCCACAAACCCCCTCGGGGAGTTCTGGACAAAGCTGGGGCTGATTGTGGGAGCGTTTCCAGCCCGGCTGCGTGGGACGGGGATTCCTTTGGGATCCTGGTCCTGGCAGCGGGGCTGGAGAATCCCTTGGGATCCTGTTCCTGACATCGGGAATGGGGAATCTTTTGGGATCCAGTTCCTAACGTCAGAATGGGGGCATTTTTGGGATCCTGTTCCTGCCATTGGGAGTGGGGGATGTTTTGGGATCCTGTTCCTGCCATTGGGAATGGGGCATTTTTGGGATCCTGATCCTGGCATTGGGAATGGGGGATCTTTTGGGATTCTGTTCCTGACATCAGAATTGGGGCATTTTTGGGATCCCGGTTGTGCCAGTGGGGACAGGCCATCTCTTGGGACCCTGCTCTTGGCACCAGGGATGGAGAATCCTTCCGGACCCCGCTCCAGGGCCGCTCCTGGAGCATCCCTCGGGACCTCGGGGCGGGCACAGCGCGGCTCCCGGCGGCGGCACCGGGAAGGGCCCGGGATGCCCTCCGGGCCCCGGGATGGGCCCGGCTGCGGGAGGGGCTGTCCCTGTCCCCCGCGCTGCCACCCCCGGTCCCGCCCCGGCCCTGCCCGCCCCGCCCAGGGGCGGCCCCGGGGCAGCGGCAGCGAGCGAGCGGCACCGGCAGCGGTGAGTGCGGCCGGGCTGGGGCATCCTCCTCATCCTCATCCTCATCCTCATCCCCATCCCCATCCCCATCCCCATCCCGCAGCGCCGGGAGCGGCCCCGGGGCTGAGCCGCGGCCCCGCCGCCCCCGGGAGCTGCCGGAAAACCTCCGCGATCCCCGGGATCGCAGCCCCGGAGCCGCCCCAGCCCCAGCATCGCCCTCGGGAGCCGCAGCGCCCGCGGCTCCTCCGGCCCCGGCCCCTCCCGGGGGCTCCACCCTGCGTGCGACCCCCCTGTCCCGAGCGCCCGACCCCTCCCCTGGGCCTCGGCGCTGCCCTTCCCTGTCCCCGCAGGCCGGAGAACAATAGCGGCGTGCAGAACAATGGGGCGGCCGCGCTCCCCCGCCTAGGGATGCGGGCCGGACGCGGGGCGCGGATCCGGGCCCGGGAGTAGCGCAGGAACCGCGGGCGGCAGCGCAGGATCCGCGGCACCGGGTGAGCGCTCGCGTCCCGGGGCTCGGGCACCGGGGCCGCCTCCGGGGGATGCTCGGGCACCGGGGGATGCTCGGGCACCGGGGGATGCTCGGGCACCGGGGGGTTCTCCGAGCACCGGGGGATGCTCGGGGCACCGGGGGATGCTCGGGGCACCGGGGGATGCTCGGGGCACCGCGGCCTCCCCGGGGATCGGGATATTCCCACAATGCCCCGGCTGCGCCAGACCCGCGCCTCCCGCTCCCGATGCTGCCGGGGTGGGGTGAGAGCGAGGCGGCAAAAACCTCCCCAAAATAACGCAGATTTCTTTGCAGGAGCGGGGAAAATAGCTCTTTCCTCCTGAAAAGGGGGTTTTGGGGGGGTTTGGTGCTTTTTTACTTGTTTTGTTGTGTGGGAGCTGTGGATGCGGCCGGGCTCCCCCGGGGGGGGTCCGGGGGTGTTTTTGGGGAGGGGAACGAGCCCGGGCTCCGTCGGGCCCGGGAGGAGCCCGAGGGGGCCGGAACCGTCCCGGGCCGGGCTGGGCTCGGCGGAACCGCGTCAGCTCCGGGGGGGAAACTGAGGCACGGGAACGGGCACGGCCCCGCGCTGCCGGGGTCGAGCAATGCAGCGACTTCCACCTCGCCAGCGCTTTGATTGGGGCGATTCCCGGCACTTCCCGGGGATTCCCGGCATTTCCCTGGTGATTCCCGTCTTTTCCCTGGTGATTCCCGTCTTTTCCCGAGTGATTCCCGTCTTTTCCCGGGTAATTCCCAGCCTTTCCCTCTGCACGGCTCTGGCCCTGGATATTCCAGGATATTCTCAGCCTTTCCCGGGCCTCTCCCGAGTTATTCCCGGCTTTTCCCAGGTTTTTCCCAGCATCTCCCGGGTCATTCCCAGCCTCTCCCGGGTCATTCCCGGCCTCTCCCGGGTCATTCCCGGCCTCTCCCGGGTTCTTTTCACTCTTTGCTGCCCTAGGATGGTTTTTTTTCACTCTCTTTGGTGGTTTTGCTGCTCTAGGAGTGGTTCTTTTCATTCATTTTGCTGTTTTTGCTGCTCCAGGAGGGTTCTTTTCACTCATTTTGGTGTTTTTGCTGCTCTAGGAGTGGTTTTGTCACTCCCTTTTCCGGGGGGGAAACTGAGGCACGGGAACGGGCACGGCCCCGCGCTGCCGGGGTCGAGCAATGCAGCGACTTCCACCTCGCCAGCGCTTTGATTGGGGCGATTCCCGGCACTTCCCGGGGATTCCCGGCATTTCCCTGGTGATTCCCGTCTTTTCCCTGGTGATTCCCGTCTTTTCCCGAGTGATTCCCGTCTTTTCCCGGGTAATTCCCAGCCTTTCCCTCTGCACGGCTCTGGCCCTGGATATTCCAGGATATTCTCAGCCTTTCCCGGGCCTCTCCCGAGTTATTCCCGGCTTTTCCCAGGTTTTTCCCAGCCTCTCCCGGGTCATTCTCGGCCTCTCCCGGGTTCTTTTCACTCTTTGCTGCCCTAGGATGGTTTTTTTCACTCTCTTTGGTGGTTTTGCTGCTCTAGGACAGGTTCTTTTCATTCATTTTGCTGTTTTTGCTGCTCCAGGAGGGTTCTTTTCACTCCCTTTGGTGTTTTCACTGCTCTAAGAAGGTTTTTTTTCACTCTCTTTGGTGATTTTGCTGCTCCAGGAGGGTTCTTTTCACTCCCTTTGGTGTTTTCACTGCTCTAAGAAGGTTTTTTTTCACTCTCTTTGGTGATTTTGCTGCTCCAGGAGGGTTCTTTTCACTCATTTTGGTGTTTTTGCTGCTCTAGGAGTGGTTTTGTCACTCCCTTTGGTGCTCTAGGAGGGTTTTCCCCCACCCTTTGGAGTTTTTGCTGCTTTAGGAGGGTTTTTTTCACTCCCTTTGCTGTTTTTGATGCTCCAGGAGGGTTCTTTTCACTCATTTTGGAGTTTTTACTGCTCCAGGGTTTTTTTTATCATTCCCGGCCTCTCCCGGGTCATTCCCGGCCTCTCCCGGGTCATTCCCGGCCTCTCCCGGGTCATTCCCGGCCTCTCCCGGGTTCTTTTCACTCTTTGCTGCCCTAGGATGGTTTTTTTTCACTCTCTTTGGTGGTTTTGCTGCTCTAGGAGTGGTTCTTTTCATTCATTTTGCTGTTTTTGCTGCTCCAGGAGGGTTCTTTTCACTCATTTTGGTGTTTTTGCTGCTCTAGGAGTGGTTTTGTCACTCCCTTTGGTGCTCTAGGAGGGTTTTCCCCCACCCGTTGGAGTTTTTGCTGCTCTAGGATGGGTTCTTTTCACTCTCTTTGCTGCTTTTGCTGCTCTAGGATGTTTTTTTTCACTGTCTTTGGTGATTTTCCTGCTCCAGGAGGGTTCTTTTTACCCATTTTACTGGTTTTTCTGCTCTAAGAAGGTTCTTTTTACTCCCTTTGGTGTTTTTACTGCTCCAGGGTTTTTTTTTTTCAATTCACTTCAGTGTTTTTGGTGCTCCAGGAGGGTTTTTTTCACTCCCTTTGCTGTTTTTGATGCTCCAGGAGGGTTCTTTTCACTCATTTTGGAGTTTTTACTGCTCCAGGGTTTTTTTTTTCAATTCACTTCAGTGTTTTTGGTGCTCCAGGAGGGTTTTTTTCACTCATTTTGGTGATTTTGCTGCTCTAGGCTATTTTTTTTCACTCCCTTTGGTATTTTTCCTGCTCCAGGAGTTTTTTTTTCACTCCCCTGGGTGTTTCTGGCACCATTTTCACATCTGCCACGTCCTTTAATCCTCCTTGAGCACCCCAGAGCTGTTCAGCCCTTGCCAGGGGAAGCTCCTTCCCCCCAAACCCCGGCGCAGCTGCTGCCCCAAAACCCCACGGCCTCACCCCAAACCCCTGAGCCAGCTGCAGAACCCCCCTGCTCCCGTTTGGGGCGGATAAATGAGATTATTCCCGTGGGAGGCGGCTGCAGGAGCAGAGCTGGCGCCGGATTTTTGCCAAATCTTGCCGGATTTTACCCAATTTTACCACAACACTCCCTCAGCTCCTCAGGAAACCCGGAGCTTTGTCAGCTCTTCCGCGGTTTTTCTCTCCTCACTTCTCCTTCTGCTTTTTCTCGGAGCCCCAGGCTGGGCTGGGCCGATTTCCTGCCCTTCCCCTGCTGCCACTGAGGGGTTTTTTTGCTGTTCCAAATCAATTTTCCCCCCTGTTTTTCCCCCAAGGTGTGGGATGGATCCCCAGCATTGCTGCCCTGCAGGGGCTTTGGGGTCTGGGCTCATCCCTGGCAGGTTTTACTGCCTTGGCCTGGATTTTGGGGTGGATTTGGGGTTTTTTTTTCAGGAAAAGGGGTTTTGTGTCCCAGGGAGCTGGGAGGAAGCACATGGGAGGAAATCAGTGCCCTGAGGAGCAAACGCTTTTTGCTCCCTCAGTTTCCCTTCCAGGCGAAGGGGAGGGAGGGAAAAAACCCTGAAAAATTAAATTTTTCCATCCAAGGCACAGCAGGACCCCAAAATCCCTTTTCTCATCAATTCCAAACCTCCCCAGTTCCCCATTCCGAGGCCTCTTTGAGGCCCAGTTTCCAAACTGAGCATCCCAAGGGCTCAACCCCAAACCCCAACCCCAAACCCCCCCCAGCCCAGCCCCCCCATGCCCACACGGCCCCGCCATGGAGCCGGGAGCGGCCGCGGTGCCCTGCGGGAAGGACAGGCTCATCTCCAGGTACGGGGACACGGGGGACACGGGACTGGGGAGGGACACAGGACACGGGGGGACACGAGACATGGGGGGGACACGGGACACGGGACATGAGTGGGGACATGGGACAGAGGACATGGGACACAGGGGGACATGGGCAGGACATGGAGGGACACGGGTGGGGACACAGTGGGGGACACAAGGGGACACAGGTGCAGGCATGGAGGGACACGGGTGGGACACAGATGGGGACACGGGCAGGACATGGGGGGAAAAGGGCCGGACACGGGTGGGACATGGGGCAGGACATGGATGGGACAAGGAAGGGGACACCAATTTGCCCCTCAGAGCTTTGTCCTGAGCTGGGCGAGGCCGGCGTGACCTCCCCCTCTGTGACCACTCGTGACACCGGCGTGACCCAGAAACCTGATCACACGGTGAAAGGAGAAAATGAGAAAAGGATAAAAAGATAGAAGGATAAAATTATAAAATTATAACAAGATAAAAAGATAAAATGATAAAATGATAAAATGATGAAAGGAGAAACAGATAAACAGATAAAAGGATAAAAAGATAAAATGATAAAGAGATAAAAGGATAAAATGATAAAATTATAAAAAGATAAAAAGGTAAAATGGTAAAAAGATAAAAAGATAAACTGATAAAAGGATTAAAGGATAAAGGATAAAGGATAAAAGGATTCCGTTCTCAGCCTCGTGACCGAGTGCCCCGAGCCCCTTTGGGGTCTCTTTTAGGGCCATTTCTGGGGGACACCCCACGGGAGCTTCTCCCCTTCGTTGTGGCTGCGGAACGTTGGAGCCCGGCAAAACCTGCAGTGGGGGAGGAGGGAAAAGACCCAAATCTGCCCCAAATCAAGGAAATTTGGGTCCCCTGCAGCACGGGGGGTCCTCAGGCAGGGCAGGAGCTCCTGACCCCAGTGCAGCTCCTGACCCCAGTGCAGCTCCTGACCCCCAGTGCAGCTCCTGACCCCCAGTGCAGCTCCTGACCCCCAGCAGCAGCTCGGGGGCGCTGCTGGTGCCTCACCCACCCCATCCCTGCTCCTTTTTCCCATTTTTCCGTTTTTTCCCCCCAGGAATGAGCTGCTGCTGCACCTCAAGACCTACAACATCTACTACGAGGGGCAGAACCTGCAGCTGCGGCACCGGGAGGTGAGAGCCCAGGGGATTGAGGAGCCAGGGCTGGCTTGGGTGGGGAGGGACCCCCCACATTTATATGAGAGAGATAATATTATTTCTATAGATAATAGAAATAATATATCTTATATAAATATATAATTTTATTATTATATTATATTATATTATATTATATTATATTATATTATATTATGTTATATTATAGGAGGTGAGAGCCCAGGGGATTGAGGAGCCAGGGCTGGCTTGGGTGGGGAGGGACCCCCCACATTTATATGAGAGAGATAATATTATTTCTATAGATAATAGAAATAATATATCTTATATAAATATATAATTTTATTATTACATTATATTATATTATATTATATTATATTATATTATATTATATTATATTACATTACATTACATTACATTACATTACATTACATTATATCATATATCATATCATATCATATCATATCATATCATATCATATTATATATTATTTTATATATGTATATATAATATATACATCTATTATTTTTCTATATGTATGTAATTTGCCTTCACATTTTATATATATATATAATTTTTAACATATAAATCTTTATATTATATATTATATCTATATTTGCAATACATTTTATATATTAAATATTTACATTTTATATATAAAATCTGCATTCAAATTATAGGCATATATCTGATTTTTTATATGATATGTAAACCTTTATGTTATATATAAATGGTTATGTTACATATATAAAATCCTTATATTCTGTGTATAAAATCCTTATATTTTACATATAAAATTCTTATATTCTATGCATTAAATCCTTATATTCTACATATAAAATTCTTATATTCTGTGTATAAAATCCCTATATTCTATATATAAAATTCTTATATTCCACATATAAAACTGTTATATTCTGTGTATAAAATTCTTATATTCTACATATAAAATACTTATATTCTATGCATAAAATCCTTATATTGTACATATTAAACCCTGATATTCTGTGTGTAAAACGCTGATATTTTTGTGTGTAAAATGCTGATATTTTTGTGTATAAAACACTGATATTTTGTGTAAACGTGGCTGCAGGAGGAAGGGGAGCTGATCGTGGAGGGGCTGCTGAACATCTCGTGGGGGCTGCGCCGCCCCATCCGCCTGCAGATGCAGGACGACAACCAGCGCATCCGCCCGCCGCCCTCCTCCTCCTCCTGGCACTCGGGCTGCAACCTGGGCGCCCACGGGTGAGAGGGGGCAGGGGCAGCCCCAAAACACGGCCCCGAAAACACAGACCCAAAAAGACAGCCCCGAAAATACAGCCCCAAAAATACAGCCCTAAAAACAGAGCCCCAAAAACACAGACCCAAAAAACCCCCCAGCCTGGCAGGCTGTGCACCCCCAGCCGCCTCCTCCAGGATTTTTGTCCCAGAAGGAATCAGGGGTGAGGGACAGAGATTCCTGGGATTGTCCTTCCCTCTGCGGCCCCGCGGGGACCCCGGCAGGGACCCCGGCAGGGACCCCGGGCAGGGCACCCACCCCTCGCTGTCCCCCAGGTCCGTGCTGAAGCCCAGCACCCTGCCGGACATCCAGGTGACAGACGGGGACAGCGGCCGGGCCACGGAGAATGCCGGGAACGGCACGGGTGAGCCGGGCTGGGATCCACCAGGAACGGATCCACCGAGACAGCCCCAAACCCCCACAGACAGCCCCAGACCCCCCAGCCTGGCAGGCTGTGCACCCCCAGCCGCCTCCTCCAGGATTTTTGTCCCAGAAGGAATCAGGGGTGAGGGACAGAGATTCCCGGGATTGTCCTTCCCTCTGCGGCCCCGCGGGGACCCCGGCAGGGACCCCGGCAGGGACCCCGGGCAGGGCACCCACCCCTCGCTGTCCCCCAGGTCCGTGCTGAAGCCCAGCACCCTGCCGGACATCCAGGTGACAGACGGGGACAGCGGCCGGGCCACGGAGAATGCCGGGAACGGCACGGGTGAGCCGGGCTGGGATCCACCAGGAACGGATCCACCGGGAATGGGAACGGGGCTGGGATCCACCGGGATTGGATCCACTGGGAATGGGACCGGGCTGGGATCCACCGGGAATGGATCCACCAGGATCAGGCTGGGATCCACCGGGAACGGGACCAGGGCTGGGATCCACCGGGATTGGATCCACCAGGATCAGGCTGGGATCCACCGGGAACGGGACCAGGGCTGGGATCCACCGGGATTGGATCCACTGGGAACGGGACCGGGGCTGGGATCCACCAGGAATGGATCCACTGGGAACAGGACTGGGGCTGGGATCCACCGGGATTGGACCCACCAGGATCAGGCTGGGATCCACTGGGATTGGATCCACTGGGAACGGGACCGGGGCTGGGATCCACCAGGAATGGATCCACTGGGAATGGGACTGGGGCTGGGATCCACCGGGAACGGGGATCGGGCTCAGATCCACTGGGAATGGTGCAAGGGCTTGGATCCACTGGGACCAGGCTGGGATCCACTGGAATCAGATCCACCGGGAGCAGTCCAAGAGCTTGGATCCACCAGGATCAGTCCCAGGACTCGGATCCACTGGGAATGGTGCTGGGGCTCAGATCCACCAGGAGCAGGCTGGGATCCACCGGGATCACATCCAACAGGAGCGGGACCAGGGCTCAGATCCACCGGGACTGGGCTGGGATCTACTGGGGATGGTCCAAGGGCTCAGATCCACCAGGATCATGCTGGGATCCACCAGGATCAGTCTGGGATCCACTGGGATCAGGCTGGGGCAGATCCACCGGGACTGGGCTGGGATCTACTGGGGATGGTCCAAGGGCTCGGATCCACCAGGACTGGATCCACCAGGAGTGGGACCGGGACTCAGATCCAGCGGGATCAGGCTGGGATCCACCAGGATTGGGCTTGGATCCCCTGGGATCATGCTGGGATCCACCAGGACCAGGCTCAGATCCACCGGGATCAGATCCACCGGGAGTGGTCCACAGACTCAGATCCACCGGGATCAGGCTGGGATCTACTGGGGATGGTCCAAGGGCTCAGATCCACCAGGATCGGGCTTGGATCCACCGGGATCAGGCTGGGATCCACCAGGAGCTGAGCCCTTGCAAATCTCCATCCAGGAACCCCCATCCGTGACCCTCCAGCTTTCCCCCTTTTTCTTTCTGCTCTCCCCACTCAGGACACTTTTCCCACCTGAATTAAATCTTTCCCAGGCAGTGCCCACCCCACCACGATTCCCCTCAATCCTCTGCCAGCACATAAGGAAAAAAAAGCCTTTTATTCCATTTTTTTCCCTAAAATCCAGCAAAAATCAGTGCCTGGCGTGCCCCTGGGGGTGCTCAGCTGTCGTTTGTGCAGCTGGAGCTGCTCCTGCCAGAGATTCCTCCCTCTGCAGACACGTCCTGAATTAAAACCCCTGGAGCCGGAGCCTGAGAGCTCCATTAAAAATGGATGAAGAGCTGGTTTATCATAATTGGCTGCAGGCCGGTTTTCAGGCAGGGATCTGAGGCTCTGCCCTCGTTTGCCTGCTCTCATTAAGGGGAAGGAGAACGGAGGAAGTTCAGTTATGGAAAAGAGGGGGAAGATGCTCGAGCTCCCGGGAGAAGGGGTTTGAGCCGGGTGGCAGCAGGGATTTGGGAGGTTAATTCTGAATTAATGAGCTGGGACCTCGAGAACGAACCGCTTGTTGTGGGTTAAAGGAAAGTTCAGGGGGGTGAGGAAATTTATCTTGGGGTGGGGACTTCTGCATCCTCCCAGTGGCTGTGTGGGAGCAGGAAAATTCTGGAATCACAGAATTGTCCTGAGTGGGAAGGGACCACAAGGATCTTTGAGCAAACACGCCAACAATCCCACCCTGGGAGCGTTGCTCAAAAATCAACAATCCCACTGCGGGGTTGTTACCCAGAAATCAAAAATCCCACCCTGTGCTGGGATTATTGGGTATAAAAAACCAAAAATCCCACCCTGGGAGTGCTCCCCAAAAATCAACAATCCCACTGCGGGATGGTTACCCAGAAATCAACAATCCCACCCTGAGCTTGGGTTATTGGGTATAAAAAAACAAAAATCCTACCCTGGGAGTGTTCCCCAAAAATCAACAATCCCACCCTGTGCTTGGATTATTGGACAAAAATCAACAATCCCACCGTGTGCTGGGAGTGCTCCCCAAAATCTCCTGGAGCTTCTCAGCTTTCCAGAAAAGAATCCTGGGTTTTTCCAGCAAACACCACGGTGGCACAACAGAAGTGCAAAAAAACCCAAAGGAATTATTACCGCAAGGATCTTTGAGCAAACACGCCAACAATTTGAAATTTATTTGAAATTTATTTGAAGTTACGCGCACAGGCTTTGTGGGAACGCTGATTTCCGAGGCGAGCTCACCGCGAGGTTGTCTCGAGGCGTTTGCAGGCGCTGTGAGGGGCCCTTGTGCTGTGTTTTGTTTGCAGCCCCCCGGGCGGACGAGGCCCCGCAGCTGCTGCGCACCCGCAGCGACGTCGGCGTCCGGCCCCGCGGCAGCGCCCGCACGCCCGGCGAGCAGCGGCGCCTGCGGCGGCACCGCTTCTCCATCAACGGGCACTTCTACAACCACAAGGTGAGCGGGAGCCATGGGATCCAGGGGGATCCAGGGGGATCCAGGGGGATCCAGGGGTCCGGGGGGAACCAGAGATCAAGGAGATCCAGGGATCTGGGGGGGATCCAGGAGATGCAGGGATCTGGGGGATCCAGGGAGCTGGGGGGATCCTGGGATCCCAAGGGATCTGAGGGATCTGGGGTTATGCAGGGGGGATCCAGGGGGAACCGGGGGATCCAGGGATCAGGGGCATCTGGGGGATCCAGGGAGATCCAGGGGGATCTGGGGGGATCCAGGGATCAGGGGGATTGAGGGGGATCTGGGGGGATCCAGGTATGCAGGGGGATCTGGGGGATCCAGAGGGATCCAGGAAGATCCAGAGGGATCTGGGGGGATCCAGGGATCAGGGGGATCCAGGGAGCTGGGGGATCCAGGGATCCCAGGGGATCCAGGGATCTGAGGGATCTGGGGGGATGCAGGAGGATCCAGGGGATCCAGGGATCAGGGGGATCCAGGGGGAACCGGGGGATCCAGGGATCAGGGGGATCCAGAGGATCCAGAGGGATCCAGGAGGATCTAGGGGGATCCAGGGGTCCGGGGGGAACCAGAGATCAAGGAGATCCAGGGAGCTGGGGGAGATCCAGGGATCCCAGGGGATGCAGGGGTCTGAGGGATCTGGGAGGATCCAGAGGGATCTGAGGGATCCAGGGATCAGGGGGATCCAGGGGATCTGGGGGGACCCAGAGATCCCTGGATCCAGGGGGATCTGGGAGTATCGAGGGGGATCCAGGGGGACCAAGAGGATCCAGGAGGATCCAGTGGGATCCAGGGGATCCAGGGATCAGAGGATCCAGGGGGATCTGGGGGGTTCTGGGGGGATCCAGGGGGTCTGGGGGATCCGGGACGAGGGGGGCAGGCCCCGGGCAGGCCCCCAGTGCCGCCTGTGCCCGCAGACCGCCGTGTTCACGCCCGCCTACGGCTCCGTCACCAACGTGCGCATCAACAGCACCATGACCACGCCGCAGGTGCTCAAACTGCTGCTCAACAAGTTCAAGGTACGGGCACCCCGTGCTCCCAGCGAGGGTCTGTCGTGGTTCAATAAATAAAAACCTTTTTTATTCTGTGTATAAAACCTGCATTCTGGTTTATATCGTTTTATATTTATATAAAAATATGTATTTATATAAATTTTAAAATATATATTTTATATAAATATAAATATATATTTATATTTATATAAAGATATATATTATATATATTTATGTTTATATATTATATTTTCATATATTTATTCTTTTAAATTATTCTTTATATTTTATATTTATATATATTATATGTTTCTAAATTTATATTCGTATTATTTATTTATCTTTCCGTTATATACACGTAACTTTCATTCAGATTCTAGATGAATTTTTATATTTCAATCTTTATGTTATATATATATACAATCTTTACATTTTATATATAAAATCTGCAGATGCATATGTCTGAATTTTTATATGATATGAAAATATTCATATTATACGAAAGTGCTTATATTATACATATATATAATCTTTATATGTATAAAATCTGCATTCAGATTACATATATACATATATATATGGTATACCTCATATATACATGTATATACATAAATATAAATATAGATATAAATATAAATATAAATATGAATATAAATATAAATATGAATATAAATAAAAATAAATATAAATATAAATATAAATATAAATATAAATATAAATATAAATATAAATATAAATATAAATGTAAGTATAAATATAAATATAAATATAAATGTAAGTATAAATATAAATATAACCATAAACATAAATAAATAAAAATAAAAATAAAAATAAATATATAAATAAAATATAAATATAAATATTGAGATAAATATAGAGATAAATATAAATATAAATATAAATATAAATATAAATATAAATATAAATATAAATATAAATATAAGGTGTACCAGAACCAGTCCCTGTATCAGCGCTTTGTGTCTCCCCAGATCGAGAACTCAGCAGAGGAGTTTGCTCTGTACATGGTGCACACGAGCGGAGGTGAGTGCCCCAAAGTACCCCCGACAGGTGCCCCGAACCCCCGGGCATGAGTGCCCCGAACCCCCGGGCATGAGTGCCCCAAACCCCCGGGCATGAGTGCCCCAAACCCCGGGCATGAGTGCCCCAAACCCCTGGATGCCCCAAATTCTCCTGGCCAGGAGTGCCCCGAATCCCCCTGGTGCTGCCACCTCTGCCCCGGTGCTGCCCAGGCACTGTTGGTACCACCCTGGCACTGCTGGTACCACCCTGGCACTGCCATTACCACCCTGGCAGTGCCAGTGCCACCCTGGCAGTGCCGGTACCACCCTGGCAGTGCCGGTGCCGCCGTGCCCGGCCGTGCCCGCCGTGCCCAGCCCTCTGTGCTTGCAGAGAAGCAGCGGCTGCGCGGCAGCGATTTCCCGCTGCTGGCCCGCGTGCTGCAGGGCCCCTGCGAGCAGGTGGCCAAGGTGTTCCTGATGGAGAAGGACCAGGTGGAGGAGGTCACCTACGACGTGAGTGTGCCAGGGGCCCTGGGGAGGGGGGTCTGGGGGGTTCGGGG